CAGGCAAATAAATATAGTACAAAATTTTTGTCACATGTTTGAAAAGTTTTAAGATATTAGTAATTAAAATTTTATTTAATTTTATTAGGTTGTACAAAAGTTATAAAAAAAAAATTAAGAACTTGATTTATTTTCATTAATTGAAAATTTTAAGTAAAAAAAAATTAAAAAAAAAAACTAATGAGATTTTGATATTTTATAGATCCTCCCTTAACAACAACACAAGCAGCAGCTCGGACATGTTAATGACCAACAGACAACAATATCTAAGTGATATTTTAAATCATACCTTTTTAACAAAGTCATCTAACCCTTTAATGCTATTTGGCTTCAGCTCATAGTATAGGAATTTTTTAATCTTAAATTATAAGTTTTCAATTGAATTAAGGTCAAGGCTCTAAGAAGGCTAATCTATCCATTTAATTTATTTTTTTTTCATGAATTCTTTTATAAGTTTTATAATATAAGGTCTTACATTGTCTTATTGAAAGATGAAACAACCACAATTGCTCAGTGAAAATTTTTTTAGAACAGAAAAAATATGCCTTTAGAAAATCTTAACATATAAGATATCAATAACAGAAGACTCAAGTAAAACAGGGGACTCAACACCATATCAAGAGAAGCAGCCTCAATACATTTAATCTAGTTTATAACCTATGGTGAAACTCAAACAATTGGCCACTCATTTCTTATAAGGTTTATGCCAAATGCAACTAGAAGAATCTTGGAATAGATAAACAATAGTCTTATTTGACTATAAAACATACTTGAAGTATCAGATGGACTGCTTTTTATGGGTAAGAGCCCAATTATACCTCTTTTGTTTATTCTGCAGAGAAACTAATAGCTTTAAGGAGATGACACATAACTTCAAGTTTTAATTATGTAAAGTATAGTATATGGTACTAATAGAAACTTTTTTTTTTATTATAAAGGTTAGTAATTTCGATAAAATTGAGATGACAGTTGTCATCAGTAACTAATTTTTTCAAGTTCTTGTGATCAGTGGAAAAGAGAATCCTGGGATAGCCAGTTTTTTTTTTTTATTTCAATAGCATCTGTTTAATGAAACCTATTTATAATATTTCACATGGTAGATTTACTGCATCTGACAACAGTTACAATAATACAAATCGAATCTCCTTGTTGATAATTATAAATTATCATATTTTTTTAACTTAAAAAGTGTTTATAATATTTTGGTAGGCCACTGTATATTTGTTTTTTGTTTTTTTTTTTTACATTGATAAACATTAGTTCTTTATTTGCTATATATACTAATATATAACAATAAGAAAGAATCTATATTTCTCACAATACATGAGTTAAATGCTAGCTTACTAACAATCTATCTAAACATATTAAAAAAAAAAGTTTAAAACCAATATACTGTTTAGATAGTCACATGACAAGCCATGTGATTTGTAAGAAAATGAAATAAAAATAAAAAAAAATTTTTAGTATATATTAATATTAAACAAAACTTTTCATATTATAATTTCAGCTCACACAGCTATAAGAACAGAGAAGGATTAACATGAATATGTACTTCCTAATAAATGCTTCAAAACTGTAATCTTTGGTTGATACAAATTATCAAATCTAGAGACTTCAATGGCCAAGCGAAACACAACTTCAAAATCTTCTAGTAGATATTTCAAAGGATTCAGTTGGCTTAAACTGTCAAATATAGAGGCAAAATTGTCAAGCAGGATGCAACTCCTACATATTTGGTAAGCCATTAACACTTCCATGATAGACTTATACATTAGTATCCATATCATTACTCTTTTCAAAGTCATCTAATTAATATTAATATGTGATAAGATATTATTAATAGTTGTTATTGTTGTTAGTATTATTGTTATTGATATTATTATAACTGTAGATGATGCAATTTTGATGAAGTGTGATTAATTAAAATATAATATTGATCTTTTGATAGGATAAACTGATTTCAGTTTTTTGTTGTGAAAGAAAAAAAAGAACCAAAGTGTTTCTGTATATATAAGTGAAAAAGGTGTCAAACCAAAAGCCTTTTTCTATGCAACTTTTATTCACAAAATGCTTAGTCTTAAGGAATTCGATCAAGAGTTCCATTCTTATACAGCTTGAGTCTTTACAATCAAACTTTTAAAGTTGCAAAGATAACTCTTTGTCTTGAAGAAGAGGAACTGGTCTTTCATCCAATATGTCCAAATCTTGACCTTTCCACCCGTAACACTTGGGACTACTCAACTTAAATCTCTTAGGCTATAATAGAAAGGGAATAACCAGACTTCTTCTTTAAAAGAAGATTTTGATTTTCGATAGTGATAAAAGAAGGAAAAAAGTTTCTTTGAACAAAATAACTTAACAAGTCCTCAATTTCTTGTCTCACTAAAATTTCCTAAAAAGAAAAGTTTTTCAAATATTTGAGGGAAATGGGAAAGAGTTTTTATTAGGTATACTACTGTATGTTTGTTAAAATAAAATATAATTTAATCTATATATATAAATTGGTTCTTATAAAAAAACAACATTTAATAGATTATAATATTAAATACTATATTAATATTATTTAATAATATTTATTTCAAATTGAATTAATATTTTGTAATTTAAATTTAAAAGCATTAATTATTATATTATTAATTCATAGATTTTATTTTTCTAAAATATTTGAAAATAAGAATTATATTATAACAATATTTAATTTTATATTATAAAAAATTTTTTTAAATTTTTATAAGATAAAAATATATTAATTTAAAAAAAAATTATTAAAAAAAATTATTTATTTAAAAATCATTTGAAATTATAAAAACTCTTTTCTAATCATGTCCATTTTGTTAAAAATTTTTCTTTTATAATAATTTTAAACAAGAAAAAATATTTTATACTCTTTATCACAAATAAGTTCCAGTTCAAAAACTCAAAAACCTTCAAGATAACTGATACAATAGAATAAGACCTCTGATCGAAATCTATTCAAGTTTAAGAGTTTTGCTTATTTTTTAGTTGCATGAGAAAAGATCTATAACAATTGTTTTTTCTTTTGTTTTCTTATATATGTCCTTATCCTTATTATATTATAAAAACTATCTATATAAATACTATTATACTTATTAAACAAAACACTTTTCAAAAAGTACACTTTAACAAAATTATAGAATCTAATATTTGTTTTAAGTCAACCTTCACATACAACTTTGTAGTAATATTTGCTATGCCATTTCAAAATTTTCAAAAATTTTAATTAAAAAATCAAAATCAATTTACTTTCTTCAGATAATTATCACTTTCCAATTATTTAATTAAATTTTGTCATAACAATAAAGCAAAAACTGAACCTGTTTAAACCAGTTTTTCAGTACAACAACAATAATAATAATAACTTCAAACAACATCAATTATACTATAATTTCTTTATCTTTAAAGTACATGTAAACAAATAAATGAACTTAGTAAATTTTGGTTTTTACAATTGGACAAGAGATTTTTTTGGATATATAAACTTTATTATTAAAAATTTTATTGTTTATTTGATTTAGTTTCAGTTTTAGTTATTTTATTATTATATATATTTTTATTTTTTTTATATTTAAAAAATCAAAAAATTTCATAAAACTTCCTGAGTTAATAGGTATAGTTATTATTTAACTTTATTTAGCACTATAATATTGCTTTTGAAATTTTTTATAATATTGATTAGATAATATTAAGTAGGTAAGCTAGTATTTAACTTTTTTGAAATAATAAAAGAGATATTATTTCTTTTACAATATATACCTTATTATATACAAATCAAAATAAAAAAATAATATTTATTTATAGAAAAATTCCTCAAAAAAAATTTATTTATTTATTTTTAACAAGCCTTTTAAATATGGATTTTAAACAAATAGTTTTTAATATAATATTATAATTTATATAAATTATAATTTGTATTGTGAATAAAAAATTTTTTTATTTAACTTATCCAAATGTATTACTAAACTAATCCAAAACTATTCCAATCTTATTTCTTTCAATATCAAGTAGGTAAACATAGCTACTCAGTATCAACTAACAAGATATATTGTTTTAAAATTTTATTTTCAATATTAGTTATTTGGTTTCTGTAGGCAAACTAGTATTAAGCTTACTGTATTTACAATTGAGAGATGTTGTTTCTTTACAATGTATACTTTTAATATACAAATCAAATAAAGAAATAATGTTTACCTATGTAAAAAAAAAAAAAAAAAAATTTATTTTTAAAAATATATAAAATTATAAATAGAAATAGAAATTTTATTATTTAAAAAGTCTATTAATAATTTTTATAATAAAGTTTATAAAATAGATTTTTAAAATTTTTTTTATAAAATAAATATAATTTATATTATTTAATTTTGCTTGCAAAACAATTTATAAAATCAATATTTATTTGATATTAATATATATTAATTGGATAATTACAATAGATTATAATTAATTTATTTATTTTATATATTAAAAATTGTTAATATAATAATAAATTATAATTTAATAAATATCTTATATTTGATACTTGTTTATAATAAAAAACAAAACAAAACAAATTAATAAAATTAATTTTATAAAATAAAAAACATAACAATTTTAATAATATACAGTAATTTGTATATTATAAAAAAACATTTGATAAAAAATTTTTATATCAAATAAATTTTTTTAATTTTAATTAATTTTCTTACAATAAAATTTAAATTATTTAAATAAGAAATTATTTATTTATAAAAAAAATAAATATTGCTTACCGTACTTTATAAAATAATATTATTGATAATGATAATCCTGTTGCTATTAATAAATCAGGTAATATAAAATATTAGTACCGCGAATTATATCACATGATCTTTAGATAGAACTCGGTTGATTCAACAACCTGTTGTACAGAATTTTAACACACTTCCTTTTTTATGGATCAAATTTCACGTATATATATGTACTTTACTTGCATACCATTATCTCTTCCACTTTCACATTAGATAATGGCGTCCCCACCTATTATTTCTAGTACGGCTGGTCGAGATTCACCAAACCCAAGCTTTAACGAACCATTTCAATTCGATGAACATAAATTTTCAACATATGCATCTAATCCAGAAAAACAAGAATTATATGTTTTCAATTGGTTATCGAATTTAGAAAGGGAGTTAAAAAAGACCGACAAAGTATCAAATGTCTAATTTAGATTATAATCATTTCAATAAGATTGGCAATAATCATACTGTCTTCTCTACAACACGATTAAATAGGAAACATTGAAATCATATCAAGCAAGCATCGAAAAACAATTATTAAAGTT